CTCTTGCTCGCAGCACCTCCAAAACGCTGTGCGCCGCCATCCTTCTCCCAACCTCCCCACCGAGCCAAGGGCCAACTCCGTCACCCATCCCTGGCGAGATGGCCCTGGGCCTCTGGCAAAACGTCAGCCCACTGCGTTGGCCGGGAATCGAACCCGGGTCAACTGCTTGGAAGGCAGCTATGCTCACCACTATACCACCAACGCCACGCGAAGTTTATTGTCCGGTAACCTCCGAGTACTCGCTCCAGCGTGTTGCCGGCCCGTCTGCCAGGTGCAGCCCTTCCTTGAAGCCGTGCCCACCTGTGCGCGGCTCCGCGCCGCCACAGCGCCACCTGCGGTCGCTCGTCGTCCACGGAGCCCAGACTTTCTCCAACCACCCTCTCTGCTCCGCGGACACGTACTGTCGTCGGCCGTGCGCCACCAGCAGGAGGCCGCGATTCTGCCACCGATGTCCTGGTTTGTATAGTGATGAGTCTCCCCGCCTGTCACGAGGGAAACTAGGGAGGCCTACATTTTGTGGCTTCTGCCGCCAAGCACCCGGCGCCCGCTTTCTGGCCCAGTTGCCAGTGCCCTGCCCCGCCCTGCCCTCTGCCCTCTGCCCTCTGCCCTCCATCGTGGCCTTTGGCGCCTTCCGCTGCTTGGTCGGCCCACCCTCCCCATGGTGTATTGGGGAGGGTATGAGAGACAGGCTCAGGTTGGGTAAACGGATAATCCAAGAGGTTGGAATTCTGTTGGGTGGCTCAACAGGAGTGGGAAGCCCCCACTTTCTTATTTAGTGGTCTCTCTTCCGAGAAATCTAGGCACGAAATACGGCGTGGAGTACCTTTTTTGCCGCTCATTCCATCAACAGGTGTTGATTTTCCACCCGGAGCCACGCTCTGAATCTGTGCATTATTAAGTAGCGTATTCCTACAAGCAAATTTCTTCTTCCAACCCATAGCCAGTTGGAGGTCACACGTCTAGAACTCGGTGTCAATGGATCTTGGACATAAGCCAGCAAGAGTTTCACGCCAGTCAGTGGGCTGAGCTGGCAAATTCCTCTATAGGGGCGCGCCCCCTTTCCGCCCGGGTGTAAGCCCTCCCACTCCTTTTTGGCCAGGTGTGGCCCCAGGCACCTTCTTACTGTTTGGTTAAGGAATGAAGTGTTTCCTCCCCACTCTCCTCTCTCTGCCCTGGCTCTCAGGTTTCAGCAGGTTGGTCAATTGACCTTAGCCTCCCTGAACAATCCCTTTTTGGAAGAAAACAGGACAGTAGAAAAATACATAAAGTCCCTAAGGGTATTACAAATGGACAATCAATATGTGAAAAATTTCAAACGGACAATTCCACTATGAACATATTCAGTGCCACTAATAATTTACAGAATGTTGATTAGAACAAGCATGTGATGTTTTACATACCTTTTCTCATTTCATTATGACCATTTTCATAATAATAGCAAAGGTGAAAAACTTTTTTTTTTAAGCATTTTTTTGTGGTTTGGGTGAAAGTTTACAGAACAAATCAGTGTCCCATTCAACAACTGATACACATTTTGTTTCATGATGTTAGTAGCAATCCCCTCAGTGTGACAGCACTCTACCCACTTTCTCCCTGGGTTCCCTGTTTCCATTTGTCCATCTTTCCTGCCCCTTCCTGCCTTCTGAACTTTGCTTTTCGGCAAATGCTGCCCTTTTGGTCAGATATGGTTGATTGTTCTGAGGAGCATGTTCCTCATGGGTGTTATAGTTCACTCTATGGCCTTGTCTACTGTTTGGCTGAAAGGTGATCTCTGGGAGTGGGTTCTGTTCCAGGTTTGAGGGGTGTCTAAGGGCCATCGTGGAAGAGGCTGCATAGGCCCGGCTCACTATTATTTACTCCCCATTGCTAACCGCCACATTGTCTCCTGATTTTTCCCTCGGCTTCCAGTCTCTACAAAAAGGTTTAAGATTAGCCGATGTTCCTCCCTGGAGGGTGGAAAACAAGTGATAATGATCTAAGAATGAAAAACCAAACAAAGCACCCATCTGGTGACAAGAAAAAGCAGGATGCCACCAGATAATCCCCAAGGATGTTACCAGATAACCTCTAAGATACCAGTAGAAGGTTAACTCATCTAAGACATCATCACCTCAAGGGGAAACTAACACAGACTTCTAAGATCCATAATCCTGTCCCTATAAAAGCCTTCAGCCGATCTCCAGTGGGGGAGATGGGTTTTTTGGAGGAATCTATTCCCCTCCGTCTCCTATATATCGATATATAATAAACATCTTGCTGCTCACCTCACCCCTGTCTCAGAATTGGCTATTGGGGCAGGCGGCTCCAATCCACGTTATTGTGGTTTAACAATCATCTCGGGGGTTCCACTAGTTTCTGTCAGACCAGTAAGTCTGGTCTTTTTTTTATGAATTTGAATTTTCTTCTACATTTTTCTCCCACTCTGTTCAGGACCTTCTATTGGGATCCCAATCAGAGCAGTGGGTAGTGGTAGCCAGGCACCATCTAGTTCTTCTGGTCTTAGTCTAGCAGAGGCTGTGGTTCGTGTGGTCCATTAGTCCTTTAGACTAATCGTTTCCTTGAGTCTTAGATTTTCTTCACTCTTTGCTCCGGGTTGGAAGAGACCAATAGTTATATCTTGGATGACCACCCACAAGCCTTTAAGACCCCAGACGTTACTCAAAGATGAAAGACTTATAAAGTGAACAATTGTATTCCCCCCGTCTAGACTTTACCATTAACAGTTTAGCATACATCCATTTCACATATTCATATGTATATTCAACCCTCTATTTTGTGATACTTTTAGCCTTATCAGATATCATCAAAGTTTTAAATAGTTGGCAATGCAGGGTTGCTAAGGATTCAAGGAAATAGTCAACATCATCCACTTTTCTGCGAGTAAAATTGTACTATGAAGTTTTTAGAGAAAAATTTGGCAAGACCTATCTAAATTTTACATATGTTAATCCCTTATACAAATAATTCCACTCCGGGAATTTATTTTACCCAAATACTAGCAGCTGTGGACAAAGATGTATGTGCAAGTAAGTTCATTGCTTCATTATTTATATTCTAGAAAATTAGAAAATATTCCACATGTTCATTAACTACAAGGTCAGGGTTGACACCAAGGTTTTTAACCTGAATGTTTCATTGCACCATGCCAAACACTAAATCATTCCAAAATGTAATGGTTTAAAACAACAATTTCTCATTATCTCTTATGGTTGGTTCTGTGAGTTGACTGGGCTCAGGTGGGCAGTTCTTGGTTGGGGTCCCTCATGCTGTTGCAGTCACACAGTGGTATACAGGGCCTGTCTTAGTCATCTTGTGCTGCTCTAACAGAAATACCACAAGTGGATAGCTTTAACAAAGAGAAATTTATTTTCTCACGGTCTAGTAGGCTAGAAGTCCCAACTCAGGGCATCAGCTCCAGGGGAACGCTTTCTCTCTGTCGGCTGTGGAGGAAGGTCCTCATCATCATCAGTCTTCCTTGGTCTAGGAGCATCTCTGCACAGAAACCTCAGGTCCAAAGGACACACTCTGCTCCTGGCACTGCTTTCTTGGTAGTATGAGGTCCCCAATTCTCTGCTTGCTTCTCATTCGTTTTATCTCTGGTAAGGTAAAAGATGGTGCAGGCCACACCCTAGGGAAACTCCCTTTACATTGGATCAGGGATGTGACCTGGGTAAGGGTGGTGTTACAATCCCACCCTAATCCTCTTTAACATAAAATTACAATCACAAAACGGAGGCCAACCACCCATTTCTGGGAATCGTGGCCCAGCCAAATTGATACACACATTTTGGGGGGACATAATTCAAACCATGACAGGGCCTTATGTGGATTTGAATGATGCTTCCTGTGTTAACCAACATAAACATGGATAAAGGATAATGACATTTGTCCTAATGGACTCAAGGCAGATAATGCTAGTGAAGCGACAAAAGTTGGTGTGTAGAGGAGAGTGATTATCTCGGGCTCCCTCTTAATCCTTGTTAGTGAAAGGGTAGTTTGTAAGCCCCAAATTAGTTTCAAGTGTATTGACCCCAGTTGATGGAGATGAGGTTGACTGGGGAGGTCACACATTACTCCAAATATATGATCCTTCTTGATCTCTGATAAGGAGAGTGGAGTTAAAATTCCTGGGTGATCTAAGGTCTTAGTCCCAGTGCAAGGGCCTAATCCTGACCTCTCTTGAGGGAGTAGAAGTTTTACCCGTTGTTTTCCCTCTAACATTTGCTATCCAATATGACAGTAGCCACCAGTCACATGGGGTTATTTAGTTCTTGAAATATGTCTAGTCCAAATTGAGATGTGTTTTAAGTATAAAATGAGGACTGGATTTTGAAGACTTAGTATGAAGAAAAGAACATAAAATCAGTGTAGAATTTTTTATACTGTTCGAATAATATTTTTAATATATTGTTTTTTTTAATGTAGCTACTAGAAAATGTAAAATTGTATACATGGCTCACAAGACAGTTCTATTAGACAGAGCTGCTCTATAGTCTGGATGGGGTTGAAGACATCTGAGAAATCTAATGTTACACTGAGTGTGTGAGATCCTCGGAGCCCGTTAGACGCACTACTCTTCTTCCCCATACGGTCAGAGTACCATGAGCTCATTTCTCTCTCTCTTAGACTCAGAGATCGTAGAACTTTCAGGCTTCTGGGAGTCTGTAGCCTGAATGCTTTTGAGCTTCTCCAGGCTTCTTTATACACAGTGGTTTGGACACAAAGTTCTGTGTACATAAAAAAACTGGTCTTTCTAAATCCAACTAAATTCAACTTAATTCAACTCTCTTTATCCCAGCTTTGTTTCCAATATTTTTTATTGCATTAGCATAACTTCACTTGTTGATTTAGTATTACACCAATCTCTCTTAACAGCTGCAGTTATCACTTATAATAAAATTGTTACTGCAGCAGTTTAGCTCCTACTGGTTCAAACTGATAGGCTCTCTAGCTCCCTAACCTAAATAATCTCCGGAACATTTCCATTCACCCTGGATGCAAAGTTTGAATTTATGATACATCGTGTGGCAGATTTCTGCTCTTCAAAACATAAAAAAGAAACAAACAAAAAGAAGGAAATGTGATACATGGTGGCAGGTGGTTCAAGCTGCTGACACCAGAATTTAAGGGCAGAAGAGTCATTTGTAGAATCATAGTAACAGAATGCTGAAGTCCAGCACCATTATTTCATCAATGAGGAAACCAAGGCCTAGACAAGGACCATGAGTTGTCTGCTTGGAATGCTCTTTTCCTAGATATCCACTAGCTCAGTTCCCTTCCTCTTTCAAATCTTTGTCAAATGACACCTTCTCAGTTTGACTACCCTATTTAAAATGGCAATTTACCCCCCACTTTTAGTCCTCTTTCTCTGTCCTTTTTGCCCCATGGCACTTATTATCTTGTATATATACTATAAATAGTATAGTATAAATACTATAATACAGTATAAGTACTATATACTGTATTTATTTGATATGTTTATTGTTTATTTTATGTCTCTCCCCACTAGAATGGAATCTCCCCAGGTTCAGAGATTTTGTGTTTTAGCCAGTGATGTAGCTCAGGTGTCTAGAAGAGTCTAGCACATAAGAGGCACCTAATAAATATTTGCTTAATGAATGAAAATCTGCTGTTTGGGTAC